GACAACAAACTTTTTTATTGTTTCTAATATAAATGCATAGGTGGAAACACTGCTCTGAAAAATACTTGGCAACAAACTCACAACCTGAGACCGGACAGTGGAGCTTTTGTGTGTGGATGGCTATGTGTATCATGTTTTTGTGATTCCCTGTGATGATGTGCACATGTTACCTTACTGAGATGAAGGAATTTAATTTTGGCTTAGTTGCCAGAAAGATACACACAACTGTTAGCATCTGTACATTATGGCAGTATGCAATATCCAATAAATACTTAAACAAAAGTAATGTAAGAAGTTATATGAGGAGAGGCTAACTAGCTAACAATGTAGCTTTCAAGTACACAGTTCAAGATAACAACAATATAACTTAAAACACAGCCTTATTTTAGAAACCCTCAAAAACATTTGAACACATTTTACTTACTCATTGTAGATTCTTATTTAAAGCCTAAAACATATCAGACTCTACATCTGAATTGATGGACAGAGAATAGAGCGCACTCAGCAGTAAACAAATCAAACACCTGGCTCCCTTAAAGGGCCAGCATTTTCTGAAAACTCTTTCTAACACCTTTGTGTTTAGAATAAGACAGACAGCCTGTGGGAGTGTGTGGTGATGCCTAAATCATTATTTTCTGCCTTTAAAATGCACGTCTCTATAAATAGCAACATAAACCGTCAGAGTAGATGGGACAGTAATGGTTGAACAGTAATTTGCTATTTATTGTCAGTTACTATCTGTAATGAGTACATAAAGTAAATTACTGGAATTTATTCTTTGCACTACACAATTTCATACAAAGTCTACTCCTTTTACAGTAAAATAATATGTGTTAATAAATAATAAATGTTTTCTTTTATTACAGCAAAACACTGGCTATTTTACAGTTATTTACTGCACATCTACAGAGTAACAGTGCAGTTATACTAATTAAACACACCTGATCAATCTAAATCTAAAGGTAGTGTGTTAAAGCAGGGCTGGAACTAAATTCTGCTGGGCTGCGGCCCTCTAGTAGTTTGACACCCCTGGTACATAGCATATTTTTAAAGGAATTGCCTACATTTATCACAATCATGCACATATCATTGAATAAAAACTATAAAAATATAAAAACTTCATCCAAAGCAAAAAAATAAAAAAAATAAATAAATAATCTGATCCTCGTGTTGTTCCAAACCTGTAGTAACAATAATAATAAAAAAACAAATAACCTGATTCATACATTTATTTAGGAAAGTCTTTATACTATACTGTTAATGCCATTTTTACCTACTTCATTTGAAGTTTTCCAGACAAATTAATTGAGTCTCTGCGAAAATGTATGTACGTGCTGTTTAAGATATTTTTTAAATAACACATTTTTACTAGTTATTTAGCAAAATACTAATATTCAGCTTAAAGTGCAATTTAAAAGCTTAACTATAGGCTAAACTAGGCAAATTAGATTAATTATAGAAAAGTAAATATTACTTTACTTATATTATAGTTATAAAAATGATTGTGATAATTTGGTTGCTCTGTGTGAATATTTTTGCCTCAAATGCATCTCGTCAATATCTTTACCTTTTAATTAGCTCTGTGACATTGACATTGACATTGGTTGACTCCTGATACTCAATGTTAAAAACATAAAAGGAATCAAAGAAAACACAGAGATGGCTGCAGAGAAATTTAACCTATCATCAATGCATTGTCTCACTTTCTCCTCAATACTGACCATACACATACCAAAACTGAACTGTATATATATATATATATAGCAACATAAAGCATCAGAGTACATGGGGTAATAATGGTTGAGCAGTAATTTACCATTTATTATCACAGTAACTATCTGTAATGGGTACATAAAGTCAATTACTGTGATTTATTCTTTGCACTACAAAATTTCATACAAATCCTTCTTCTTTTACAATAAAATACTGTTTCCTTGTACTACAGCAAAACACTGGCTATTTTACAGTTATTTACTGCATAATCTACAGTAAGGGTTAACAGTGTACTCTTAAATCATAACCTAAACACAATTTAGTCTTATCTTCATATGTAATTATTGCCTCTAAATTCCATTTAAATATTATTAGTCATTTATTACTACTATATAAAGTTCAATTTAAATAGAAATGTCTAGGACAGATTGCATATTACAGTATCTAAATGTTTCTATTAATGCTCCTATTTTTACACTTTTCGATAGAGTTTTATACCTATTTCAGCATCTAGGGCCCTATCATACACCCGGCGCAGTGTGGTGCAAGACGTGGCGCAGTAGTCTTTTGGTAGTTTCAGCTTGGCGCAAGAGTCGTTTTGAGGCGTTGCGCTACGCTGTTTAAATAGCAAATGCATTAGCGCTCATATGTGCGCCCATAGACATTCTGGTCTAAAAATGAAGGCGTTCTGAGGCGGACCGCTGGCGCGTTGCTATTTTGAGAAACTAAAATAGATTTTTCATTAGACCAAAACAAACCCGGTCTAAACTCCCGCGCAGAGTTGCGCCTCACTTACACACTGCTTAATACGCACAAGAGAGCAATAGGCAAATATCTTTACATATGAAAACATTTAAATATTAAGGATATATATATATATAGGATATAATAAGAATAGATATAGAATATAAATGTAAAGGATTAAAATATTACAAAATATATTATTTTCTAGCCTACATAAATATGAAAAATCACTGCTTTTTGAGCACACTTGGTTATTATTGTTCATTTATTCGTTTGCTGGAAATTAGAACTGAATTTAGAAATAATTTTGAAACGAATCTTTGCGCTTAACAAACAAAAGTATTTATTTATAGACTAATTGATGTCTGTGCGTAAAGGTTTCCCTATCCAAGAGCGAAAGTTAAAGTAGATCCATTATCTCTCATTCTCACGCAGTAGATGCTCTGTTTAACAGTTTTCTGTTAATAAACTGTTAACTGTTTGCTTGTGAAATGCTCAGTTTTTCCACTTAGACTTACTTTGCGTCCTGTAAATAGCGAATGCGCTCTTGGCGTGACGCAGCTGGCTCTTAAAGGGAATGGGAGATGAGACTGTAATTGGATTATTCTCAAAACACACCTATAACTCATTAAGAAAATAAACTCAACCCTTTTAGATCATGCACCACGGCGCAAAGCGGATTTTCCCATCCTTAAATTAGCAAAAATGCGTTCTGACACGCCCTGAAAGCGTTTGCGCCCTGCGTTTTGCGATCTGCGCATGGACCGTCAAAATAGAGCCCCTAGTGTTTTTCTTTCAGGGCAGATCTTCATCTGATTTAATCTTAACCCTCACTGTGCTGGCTGATTTCATCTGCATCTCAGTCCTGTAATGACAATCATTTAGTTGGAATTTGACACTTCTTTCTTTTACTAATTAATTTTCTGATCTATATATTAATTCCTTTTTTGTCTTTGAGTTATTTTCTTTTGGCTCATAATTATTTCCTAAGGCATTCCCCTCAAACCAGTTGTTCATACAATTTTAATGCATATTTTTATCAGCTGACTAAAACTTACTGTATGTTTTGTAGATTTTCTTTTTGCTCTGTTTGAACTATTATTCCTTCATATTTTCTTCTAATTATTTTTCACATATGTTTTCATGTGAAACAGTATCGTTTTCTTAAATACTTTTCTCTTTCGAGTTTTCTTATAGTAATTTAGAACTGTTACTTTCTGACCTTATCATGTCCTATGAATTCATTAAAATGGTTATTTCAATCTTCCCTTTAACTATAACTCATTTTTCTAGATTTAAATCTCTTTCCAGTTTTCAACATCCAATCTTGATTTAGGCCATTCACAATAAGATTATGTTAAGATATTTCCTTTGCTTAATTTTAACTTAAATACTTAATTCCATTCTTATTTATTCTCCAATTATTTCTTGTCTTATCAAAAGCTTTTTCTCTTTTTCTATTTTTCTTTAGTCACCACCCTGCATTGTAATTTATCCTTCTATGTTTAAGGACTTTTATGATTAAACCTATTAAAACTTAAACCCAAATGTTTTAACATTCATCATAATTTATCATTTCAACATTACAAATTTAAAGTTTCACCTAAGAATTTCCTTGTAACACTTTTTCTTACTTAAAAATTAGCATATTAATATTTTTTCTCAAATTGACAGGAGTCTGATTTGATACAAGAATGGGTAGCTTGTTCTTAATTTTCCTACTGTAATGGTTGAACTTCATTTGGACTATAGGAGCTGCTTTGTACTGTCAGACTATCCCCCCTCGCAACCTGAGACAACCAGCTCATAAACTGGTGCTGCAGTCTTTTCTGTGGTGTCCTGACATTCCTTCATATCCGGGCACAGTGTTCCCCTCTCTCTCCTTGGGCTGGCTGCTTTCTTTGACTCAGCTGATGTAAAGGTCTGGTGGAGCGTATTTTCTCTTTGATCAGTTCATCAGTCTCTTGTTAGTGTCTCTTTTGAATGTCTCTGAACAAATGTAGCTTTTTCAGTCCTCAGTAAATCCTGAGTATGCAGTGCCTGCATCACTGTTGTAGCATCCCTGCTGAAAAATCCAGCTTAAACCAGCCTAGGCTGGTTTAAGCTGGATTTTTTAGCAGGGATGTCACAAGTGTCAACAGCCATTTTGCTCTTTGGTTTTTTCAAACACCTTTGCCAGTGCACTCGGAGATGTCTGGTAGGTACGAGACTACAGTCCCCCAAAGTTCATCCATTCGTCCTCTTAATATATAAATAGAATTTAGCTCTTGACTTAACATCCACCAGGAAACTACATTTGGGAGTTAGAGTTCATTTGTTTATACTTTATTTGTAGAATCTGTAGTAGATGAGTTGATGATGTCATGACTATCAGCTAAAGTTTGCTGCCAGGCCCGACCTCATTGTGGTCTTTGAAGGAACATTTACGTTGATGCAGGCAAACTTAAGGTCCTGCTGGGTCCATAGCAGCTGGAATATTAATGGCTTAGTATTCTGTTGTGACAATGAAGGTGAAATTCTATGTCTTTCACTGTTGTGTGCAGGTCAGCCCGCCCGCTGTGGCAATTTACAGACCTCGGTGCTCATTCGGCCTTTGGCTCCTCATTCCCACCCTGCTCCAGCCTGTTCAGATCCTCCAACTGCAGCGATACTTCGACACACAGATTCTCGTGCTGCTCCATAGCTCCGGCGAGTACAGGCAATGCCACCACAACGCTCATGATTTCCACAGTCCTAGTGACCAGCAGTCATCCACCAGCTCCTAAGCTATCTGCCGCCAGCTCACCAGTCTCCAAGATGGCCGCTGCCAGTCTGTCAACACTAACAAATGGTGATCATCGTCTGTATGCCAGTTCTCAAGATTGCCGCCGACAATCTACAGTCAGCTCACAATATGGCTGCCTGTCCTGAGTCACTCCCTCTCATGGTTTCTGATCCAAACTGCCAGGAATCATCATCACCTGAGCTCCATGGCTACCAGAACCACCACCACCGCAAGAGCTAACGCTGTAGAAATGCCACCATGTGAGCGCCTGAACTGCCAGTTGCCACCATCAGAGCTATCGGTGCCACCTGCTCCAGAGTTACTGTCAACAGAACCGCTCACAAAGCCTCAACCACAGCCAGAGCCACTCCAGCAAAACCGTCAGAGTCTGTGGTGCTAGAGCTGGCAGATCTGCTGCCGCCATAGCCAAACCTTCCAGAGCCACGTATGGCACCATCTGAGCTCCAAGAATCTCTGCCAAAGCCAACTAATCTTTCAGAACCACTCAACCTGCCTGACTTCCAGAGCTGACAAAAAAAAATGACCATTTTTGGATGTCTCTTAAAGGAGCCGAACCCCATTTTGGGTGACTGTGAAAATCGTGCTCGCTGTGATGTGAAAATTGGCCTGAAGCCCGGCCCCAGGGGCATAAAAAAGTCGAGCCGGACTCAAATGCAGGGAGGGATTTACGGGAAAAATTCATCCTAAGATGTTTAGTCTACAGGTGAAAAGTTATTTCTGTGTGTGTGTGTGTGTGTGTGTGTGTGTGTGTGAGTGAGTGTTATGCAGTCACAACTGTTTGTAATCAGCTGGAATGTTTGGCTCCTTTGCTTGAGCGTTCATAATGCCGCAGAGAGTTTTTGCTATCCAGTTCAACATGTGTGCAGCATAAAATGTGAAGTTGTGACTTTGAAGAGTGAATAAGAAGGAAGTGTTACTTTCTGTACGTTAGTGCATGTGTGGTGTGTACCTTCAGACTGGGGCTCTGTGGTTAATAAAGGGTGTCAATCAACTGGTCACACTTAAAGATCACGTCTATGTTTCTGTTTTCGACAAGGAACTTACTAAACACACGCACACACACACAATACATTTTAAAGAATTCGGTATAACCACAGCCTAAAAATAGGACTAATTATATGGAAATCAGTAGCTGCCACTAACATTCTTCGTAATATCTTTGGCGTTCAACAGAAGAAAAGATTCATAACGCTTTGAATTACGAACCTCTTCAGTGTTTCAAATTTTCCAGTCTGTCTCTCATTTGTCCAGCCCGTAACATCCCCCTCCCCCTCAAGCTCTTTTTGTTTTTTTAATCGTGTGATTCGCTGGAAATACTGAGCTGACGTGTGGTCTTTTCTGATTGGTTAACGCACACCTTGTACAGCATAAGTACAGTTAAGGAATAGGCTGTAGGAAACATTTCCAAGACCCCCGCGCGTCTTCAACACCCACCAGGAAACTCCATTTGCCGTCTGGATTCAAGATTTCCTCAGGTTTGACTTTTTATGTTGTTAAATCTGTTTTATTGAACCTAACCAACAGTTTTATGGACAGCCTGGGAATATTGGTTTAATCAGAAGCGTAGCTTATAGAGGTTTTGATTAGACAGAACACATGTTTTATGAAGGGAAATGTTGATGAGAGAATGTTTATTTGCAGAATATATAGGCAATCTGGGCATGCTAAATGACTACATTACCTGATTTGGCTTAAAAAACTTTCCCTAAAATGCTTCATGTGGCTTGCTTCATCGATGTATTCAGGAATGTGATCTCTCAGAGCAAAAATCTGTTGGATGTAAGCAATATTGTTCTCATTAGCAAGTTTGCTATAATAAATCTTATTACCACATCTCAGAATCTTGAGGAAACAAAAATAACTTCAATCTGTTTCCATATTTCCAATTTGTGAGGATGACTCGGATCAATACTTTAATCATTTCAACTTATTTTAGCAGCAAAAACAGCAGACAGGGTATGAATCCACACACTATTGTTAAAAAACTATGAACAGAATCACTTTTACACTGTAAAACACAAGTGAAGCTAACTGTAACGGCTCCTGAATGTTTTCCTCCGATCAAAAGAATCGCGCTTCAACTGATGTCTCAAAGTTTAATGTCTTCATGGTTATGCATCGTCAACCCAATGACATCTTCATATTATTTTGACAATGCGGAAACAGCGTGACACCCATTGGCCTAGCCAAGCTGGGAGTCCAGCCAAAACTAGCTATATCCAGCTTAAACCAGGCTGGTCAAGCTGGTTTTAGCTGGTCATTTTCCAACCTGACCAGCTAAGACCAGGCTGGAAATGGCTGGAAACCAGCCTGGAAGTGGCCAAAACCCCTCTAAAACCAGCCTGGTCGACCAGCTAAAACCAGCCATCCAGAACCCGCCTAGGCTGGTTTAAGCTGGATTTTTCAGCAGGGCACTTTTATCCAATTTCGAATACAATAGATTTCCAATAGCATTAATAACATATGAAATGATTCATAACCAAAATATGTTTTTTACAAAAACAACAAAACATTTTAAGGAAAATAAAACCCTTTACGTTGACAGCTACAGGAAACCGATTGCAACAAACCATTTAAATTCAAAAACTAATCCTAGTGAGTGCTGTGAACTTACTCCATTTGAGGAAACACAGTGAAACCCAATAAATGGAGAACTCAAAGCAACAGAGTACTGTAAAACCCAATACATTAAAAAACCCATATTATACATGAAATATGGTCATATTTCGGTTATTTGGATCTCCAACAACAGGCTGATCTTCATGCAAGGTAAAAAAAAACACATTCATGGTCTCATAATCTGCATTTACTTTTTACCGAACTATCCCAGTGACTCCCATATGAACCGTTCAATGATTCATTTGTTCCCAAACTCCTCCTTAGCGCGAAGCTACTCTGCACTGATTGGACTGATGACAGCCTGTTGTGATTGGTCGACAGCGTTCAGCAAGAACGCTTTGTCAAGCCCCTGGGTCCCCAGCATTGGATCCGATCGCAGCAGACGCCCGAAACACACTTCATAGTAAAACTTACTCAACAGTGTTATTCAGACACCTTACCACCAAAAGCAGTGTAGTCAAACACCAGCATATTACTCCATTAACACATTCAGTATTAATCCACACAGCAGCAAAAGCTGAACTATTCTGAACCTTGACCGCTGCACGTGTGTAGGAACAGCTGACGGTGGTCATAGCAACGACAAACGGCAGTGGAACTTGTGCTCACAAACGCGTTAAAATCCGTAAACAAAGCAGCAAGCGTCGCGTTTTCAACCGTGACATTAGACGCGATATGAGAATATAAAGAGTTAACCTGATACAGTACAAGCGGTTACAAGTAACAAAACACAATTAAATACATCATTCGCATGCTAGAGAAAACAATGAGACTAACACTTCTGAAATGTGTCACGGGCCAGGTCTGATTTTAGTAATTATCTTTCATTTTGGAGCTTTTCTCCCTTCTCAGCTGTAACTTAGATCATTTCTATTTGCAATCATTGCTGTGGCACCTCTTGCCTGAAGTGTTAACGTTATTTGTTCTCATGCTTACCTGTACTCTGCTTTGCCCAAAGATCACATCTCCAGCCAGGGGGTTGTAGCGCTCACAAGCGTTCCTCCTCGGCGTGCAGCAGGCTGCCTTTTGTACCTAATAAACTGGCCTTATTTTGCACGCACCCCTGGTGTATTGTCCGTCCATTAAAGTTAGTCTCACAAGTCTCATACATCAGTCTTTTCTGATCCTTCCTTTAACAAACGAATGAATCGCCCACTGTAAGCGTGTAGACTGCTGACTTCTTTCCCCTCAAGCTGGAATTACACTTTCGCCTGCCGCCGCATCCAGTAATAATATCCAGCTGCAAGCCCGCAGAACCACACATGTTTTAGGCACACACAATCTAGGCAAACCATAAATGGTTACGACGGATGTTAATGTTATTAACGTCTTTTTGGACATCGTCATCGATATATTTTGACATGTATGTTTAATAAATATTGTACAGAATAAATAACCCTGCTGAAAAATCCAGCTTAAACCAGCCTAGGCTGGTTGGCTGGTTTTAGCTGGTCGACCAGGCTGGTTTTAAAGGGGTTTTGGCCGCTTCCAGGCTGGTTTCCAGCCATTTCCAGCCTGGTCTTAGCTGGTCAGGCTGGAAAATGACCAGCTAAATCCAGCTAAAACCAGCTTGACCAGCCTGGTTTAAGCTGGATATAGCTGGTTTTGGCTGGGCTCCCAGCCTGCTAGGCTGGTCAAGCTGGTTTTAGCTGGTCATCTCCCAGCTAGGACCAGGCTGGAAATGGCTGGAAACCAGCCTGGAAGTGGCCAAAACCCCTTTAAAACCAGCCTGGTCGACCAGCTAAAACCAGCCAACCAACTTAAATCAACAAACCAGCTTAGGCTGGTTTAAGCTGGATTTTTTTGCAGGGAATAGTGTTTACTTTACTTTATTCCACAAATATTGCCATCGAGACAGTGCTCCCAGGACAAATGTCATTCAACCGCACTACTCAAGACAGTGTTATTACGTTAAGATGTGGGACTTTAGCGCTGTCTGGGGGTTTAGCTGGTCGACCAGGCTGGTTTCAGGGAGGTTTTGGCCACTTCCAGGCTGGTTTCCAGCCATTTCCAGCCTGGTCTTAGCTGGTCAGGCTGGAAAATTACCAGCTAAAACCAGCTAAAACCAGCTTGACCAGCCTGGCATAAGCTGGATATA